GTGTAATAATTACAGAATTATTACCACAGATAATAGATAAACCCTGTGATTAATACTCAGATTGGTCTTTTAGTCGACGAACTCTACATACAGGCAGCGATCAAACAATGGGAAGTTAATGGACCTGTGGCCTGTGGTTAAATCGACGTCGCACTGCGTTCATATGCTCGCATTACTTACTATAAACCATACAGAGCACAGTTCGATTGTTGCGAAGAAAGAAAACTGTCTGTCTGAGGTATTTAGAACATGAGGCAAAATAACGTCTGAACACATTTCGTGACAAGAGTTTTACAAATAAATTAAAAGTATCAAATATTAGATCGTGTATTAGATGTACCTATACGCGGACAAAAAAGGTTATTTTTTACTTCAATCAATGAACACAGATATGATAAAGAGTCAATAAATATTACAGTTTTATACTAACTATATTCATAGACTGTTGGTAAACTGCGCCTATCCACAAAGTTAAGATTTCGTCGCATCACTTGAATAATTAATAAGGGTCGCTAGGGTTACAGTCGCCCTAAAATATCTTATCTTCCGGGACTCGAAAACGACATCCGTTCGAGAGTTGTCATAAAATTGAATAAATGAATAAATACGTTTGCCATTATGTAATTGGACAACGAAATAAATATTATAAATAAATACAATATTACAAATAAAATTTAAATTAAGGCAAAAGCTTGCTAGAGATTTGTTATTATAAATCTCTATTGTTAGTACATATTTGGTATACACATGTGAGTAGCAATGGGCTCATAGCACAAACCTACCAGAAGCTATTATAAAATACAATGTTACACGATTAGTCAGTACCCCGTAATGACACGAAATTACAGTTAGAAAAGCTATGAAAAATGAGAAAATGTCGCGATCGTTGATATTCAGAACAATAAATTAGTTTAAAACTCATTTTATTACAGCTGCCAACTCGTTTGATAACGCGACGAGTAACATAAAACATTTAACAAAGTGATCGCCCAAATTTTAATCAATAAAACATCTTTTTGACAGGGGCCCTAATATTCTAGAACTTTATAATTATGAACTCTTATATTAACGCCTAATAAGATAATCTTATAACGATATGGGGGTCGAATATTCGTTTTTAATAATAAACTAAATTAAATAGACATGTACGTAAACTTATAAAGGTAGACTTAAGTGAGTAATTTATCATTTTTAAATCGTTATAGAGTAAACGTAAGCACCGTATCAAAAATATTTAAAATTTGAAAACGTCATCATCGTGTTTACATAGAATGCGTTCTTACACAAGACTCATTTGATAACCCAAGTTCAATGCGTAGGTACTTGAACTTGTGTGGTACATCCGCATGTACGGTGAGTTACATAAAAGCATTTTATTACACTCTGTTATATTATTTTAATTTGTTTTATTACTTCGCATGTATAACAAACATAGAGTACCTATATTTAGTGAGTCTTTAGTAGAGCATGCAAGAGTGAACAAGTGTGTTCAGTACAATTTTCATTATGAAATATGATAAAAAACTGGTCTGTTTACGTAGCATCCTGATTCTTCATTGCCTGTATTTCACAGGTTCGCGGAGTTTTAATATTAATAAGCCCCATACACAAGGTTCCTACCTACCTACTTGCGAGACTAGAGCTTTTATGATGATGTTTACCGCCAACTCGCGCATGTCGCGCGTTTTCGTCCCCGGTTTTTGCTTCACAGGGTAAACTTTTTAAAAAGGAAATCTTCCTCCTTGGTATAAACTAGCTACTCAGGTTGACTATTTCAATTCACAATGGGGTGTGTTCAATCTAATTGGGGATTTAGAACGGAAAGTTTCTGTTATTTATTTTTGTACAAATCAAGTTTATTTACTGCTCTATCGAGTATTGTGAACATTTGTTTCCAATTACCTACAACTTTAAACTGAAGGTTTGGATTTTAAACATACTTTACAGACAATGAGTTTACTTGATTAATTTTGTTTTAGTGATACCTACTAAAATTCCATAATTATGGAATGTTCCATGTTTTGATAAAAAATCAATGGTAGGCAATGTATATGTCCTTTTTTATGTGCGTGTAGGGTTACCATAACTCGGAATATTTAATCGACATAATGGTTACAGTTAGCAAAGTTATATTGTATGCAAATTGAATAGGTTTATACTGTCTTATAGGAACTTAACTTAGGGTTATCTTTGATCGTAGTGTTAGTTGATTAACTGGTTTGTTTTTGGAACCAACAACCATGAAAGATATACATATAATTTAGTAGGTAATAATAGACTGTTTAATACCAAGAATCCACAGAGAGATTAAATTATAGTGTCTCTCTTGGGTTAAGGGGGTTTATTCAATATTATTTAAGTTTCTGACGAAACTGTAAGATTGATTACAAACCTTGCCTTGTTGTTCTTGAAAATAAGAAGTTTCCGTCGTGTTTGTTACTTATTATTTTATGGTAACCCTAAGCTTGTAGCAGCGGTGTACTTATGTGAGCGTGCCCATGAATGCATTTCTAAAACAGCTTGTCCTTACATCCTTTACCACGCAAGTCCTTTTTACTCGTTCCAGCGATTCTCTATGTACCTAGTTAGGTGTACACGAGCTTCGCTTTCAAATACTCTACCTAGGTACCTGTCACACGACACAAGTTATGCATACGAATTGTTGTTTTTTTAGAATGCTCACCAGTTATCATAGAAACATTTTGTTAGTCTTAGTCGCAATTTGATTAGTCAGTCATAATGAGATCGTAACTGTATAAAGTTACATTTCACTCTAGCTCCTCATTTATAAGTGACAGGCGTTTAATTAACCACCTGCCCGTGAATTAACAAGAGTTATAGTTACTGCTGACGGTAATTCGTAACTGAATATTTTAGGTCCACTCAAACTTAGCAAAGTTCATTAAAGTCTTTGATTGAGAGGTTCTCCAGCATACTAAAAGCTAAGCTTGTTGTGTTGTGCTGTTGCTTTGAGGTCGTACATAACTAATTATTTAGTAGTTTCATTAATAGAAAATGCATTATGTACGAGAATAAAAATTAAGTAGTTAGGGGCTGATCGCCTTTATCCATTCAGACGCGAAACCTACGCGAATACTTATAACTTGGTTGGTAACCGTGTATTAAACCTAAGATACCAATTACTAATTACTGCAATAAGTACCTACAAACATAATTATTGCAATTTAAAAACTATTGCGAGAAGTCGAAAATACATTGAAAGAAAAAATGGTTGATGGCCTCTGTTTTCATTGGTGATGCTGTGGCGCAGTTACGGAAGTCACTTACTGGAAGTAGTCACGTATTTGTTGAAAATCAATATGGCGATTGTTTGGCGCTAAGTTCAAAAATTTGATAGTAGGTATGAATAGTTACAATTGAAATACTAGTAAGAGCATTAAACTCAAAATAAAAATATTTCTCGAGATATTTGTAAATAAACTAGAATAATAAAGACTCAACATAACAATATTATTTAACTAGGTAGCATTCTTCTAACTTACATAATAATTAGTTAATTCTGTCTTTTGTTAAGGACATGAAATGAAAAAACATGAAAATCATAATAATAAAGAAAGCACAGAATTTCCATACGGCAAGGCAGAGGATAGTAATGATAATTTCTGTTTCGGTCCAATATTTTCGAATAGAGAAGACACTGGTGTTAATCTGTCAAACACCAAGGGGTCACCGGTGACCGCGACCTATTGTTCTTTAATTGTGTCTATAAAACCAGTACTCGACGAGTTAATGTATAAACTGAAAAAGGTTTTTTTTCAATATAACAAAGAACTGCTATTACCGTTAGTTATACCAACTGTCAGAGTCAGAGACTACACATCTATTTATTTTTATTACTAAAATAATTAAATGGGAGAGTGGTTGTCATTTTGTGAGTACCAAACTTAGGGTGTTTGTTGGCTTCCAACCTGGAATCAATCATTGACATACACATCACTTAGGCTTGGAATAATAATTTTTTACTTAATCATACAAAGAATTCTTTTGTGTGTGAATCATATTGAAGACACATTACATACTGGTTGGTTGCCCACTAGGTAAAAAATTGAAAAGTTTTAGAATTTGACAAAGTCACAAATCCTACTGTGAAAGGAACTCCAACATTTATATGTATAGTGAAAGAGAAGAAGAGTTAAATATTGTTTTACTTAAATGGCAATCAGCCACGGTCTGCTATAATCACTGAACAAAACTGGGTCAATCCGCCACTGTCGGTCATAATCATAACCAAAAACAATACATCATTTTTTGTAGTCCATAGCCTACTGTGGTGGTCAAAAGGTTAATAAATGCATGATCAACGTATCACCATTCCAAACGGTCTGTGGCAATGCACTGTTGGACTATGGGCCTCCTCTACATAAGAGAGAGTTTGCTGTATGTGCAATACTAGAGAAGCAAGTAGAAGTAACTAAGGGAGCAATGCTACCTGTTTTTCACCAAAATAACACCCTTGGAAAGATCTATCTCCATGCATATTTTGGTATCAAGGTGTTGAATTGGTCCTATAGGAAGTAATGATTTTGATTTGAAATCAGTTGACAGAAGTTTCAAGAAAAATTAGTAGTTTAAAAATAACCCTCTTACATATTCAACATTTTGGATAAGAATATTTATTTAAAACATGTTAAATGCACAAAGTGACTTATGATCACGGGACCAAAAATTAGTAGTAATGATATACAGAATGGAAATAGTTATGTATCTAATTTAGTTTGCAAACTTTGCCAAGAAGTTTCAGTTTCTGCTGAAGTTTAATTAATTATGTATATAAAACTTACTTTTCAAACAATATAAATATATATATAAACAGAGTCTAAGTTATTTTTTTATATTAAACTGATTATTTTCTTAAAAACTGAGTAAATAAAGTAAATAACTGAAATGATTACTGTCTAACAAAAGTGTAAAACAAAAGGCTAGTTGGATTGTTTTGAATTGGATGGTTTTACTAAGGACGATTGTTTTTTGTGACTTACCTGTACTATTTATTGACGATGTAGGATGTACAATGTAGAAAAATAATAAGATAAAAGTTCCGTAAAACTGTTTGCGATGCATCTTGGACCACCGCTCCAATTCTTCCATGACACGTTAGATCTTCTTGTTTCGTGTTTAACACACTTTTGTTTACATTTTCTCAGTATTTAGACACCTTAACACACCTTTGTGAAACTATGCAGAGAGTTCAGTCATTGTAAATCGGTTGCTAGGATTTTAGTAGCCACAACATTCGTTAGACACCTGTGGAATTCGCTCGCCTTGCAACTATGAACAAGGTAGGAATTACTCACAACTTCATAAGTTCACTCAACTTTGCACGTATAAATACTAAGTTATTCAACCTTATAAACATATTATCAATTCACTTATACCACTATTATAAGAGTTTTAGTGTTAAAAACATATCTAAATTATTTTTGAAAGTTTTATAAACTTCGAAAGTTTCATGACATAAACTTCGTTGCACAATCACCCGAAGGACGCGACTTCACTCACTTGACGAGCAAAACGGAACGGGTACCGACGGCAAAAATGTTTTTGTTTCGTTTCCTTTGATCTATGTTCGGTAAAGTTCGGCAACAGTCGGTTGTACTATTCGATTAGATTCGATTCGACCACTCGAGTCGGTTTCTGGATAACGACAGATAATAGCTCTTTAGTCGATTACGATATTGCCAGTCGTGAAAGAAATTAAATAGAAAAAAAATAAAAAACCGAGTGACTAATTAACAGAAAATAGAGTTCATTTTTTAAATAAAAAAAATATGTTTATATGTTTGTTTATTTGCACAAGCTAATCTTCTGAACTACAGGAAAGAAAATCATTTCACAAATAAATTATAGAAAAACGTTTAAAAATTAATATGATGTTGCAAATTAGCACATATATCACAAAAAACCATTATTTTATTTTATGAAGAATTCAACTGTATATTATTAACTTATTAGTTTAAGAGAACAAAAAACGTTCAACCATTAGTTTATATTTAGTTTTTTAGTAAGGTATCGATTCGAATGTTTTAGTCGATTTATAAAACACACCCCTAAGCAGCCATCTCTTTGATATTTCTTTCTGAGTGTTCTGTCATTTCGGTTCGCTGAGGCGGGCATTAAATCCTAGGTAATCTTTGTTTTTAAAGCAGTAAAATTAAAAGAAAGTAGCTAATATTGTAAAGGATTAAGTGTGGTCTTAATATCAATTCATATTTTAGTCAAAACAATCAACGTTCAGTGATAACCTCATATGATCACGGTGTTTTGACATATCTTCGTGCAGACGTGAAGTTCCTTGTTTTAAATTTTTCGGTAACACGAATTGCTGTTTATATTTCAGCCATGGTGCGAATGAATGTATTGAGTGATGCCCTCAAATCAATCCACAATGCCGAGAAGCGCGGCAAAAGGCAAGTGCTAATCCGGCCTTGTTCCAAAGTTATCGTCAAGTTTTTGACTGTGATGATGAAGCACGGATACATTGGCGAGTTTGAAATCGTCGATGACCACAGAGCTGGAAAGATTGTTGTAAATCTGACCGGCAGACTGAACAAATGTGGAGTTATTTCACCCCGCTTCGACGTTCCCATCAATGACATTGAGAGGTGGACTAACCTACTACCGTCACGACAGTTCGGGTAAGTTATTCATATTTTTAAATGTTAATTTAACTCATGAAGATAAATAACCCCAGATTTGCATTGCTGTCAAATATCTGAATCTCCAAATGATTTTGTTAGAGAGCTTTATTTTTGTTAGGTTATGTTCATTTATAATTTGTCTCATGTCAGTGAATAAATTCCTAAATATTCTTAGCAATACTTCATCTGATGTGTTTACGATCACTGCAGACATGTTATTTTTATTGTAGAAACACGAAACCCTAAACAAAAATGTTGATAACCCTCAGTATGCACAATAAGCCCCCGAAACATGCTTGTTTTTAAATCTTCAGTAGATTTATAACTTAGGATGACACTTTTAACAATTAGTACTTTAGAAGGTACAATTTAAGGACAAAAATCAAATGTAAACAAAACATGGATTTGTGAGGGATGTTTGCGGTGTTGATAAAATGTGTCCTTAACCACTCAAATGTCATTAATTTTTAGAAAGTTGATATCTACATATTTGATTTAGTGTCTGGCGTTACTAGTTTTGCTGACCGAATTAGTTACTTTTTGTTGTAACAAGTACTTATTTTAATTTAGCCCCTTCACAGTCCAACAAAGCCTTCAGTAGCTGGCTGGATTGTTGAGCTTTTGGGAGTTTAAAGCATAAGTATTATTAAACTGTCAAACACCGAGCGGTCACCGGTGACCGCAACCTATTGTTCTTTAATTGTGTCTATAAATACGGTACTCGACGAGTTAATTGATGAGGAAGAATGAAACACAATATTTATGAAATTAATAATATCCTACCTATCAATAACTAGTAAAGACCTATATTATCAACTACATATGGTCGGCTAGAATAAACAGATATATTAATGACACTTGCTATCCATCAGTAACTCTCATACAAGTAGTCTCATGTAGTTAAAAATGTTGTATGCCGAGTCGCTGGCCAGATGCTTGGTCAGGTTACCTCGTCTTTCCTTTCTGCTACTATAACATTTAAAAGATAACCTTTATAAGTTTAGTTTAAAAAAATAATGTTTAATTCTCCATGTGGTGTTGTGTGTGTTAAGTTGGTTTAAATTTGATTAACTTCCAAACAGAAGATTTCTCAATTCAATCATAAATAAGCTTTTTATGTTTAGTTGTGGATAACTATTGTTTACTAACCGATTTTAATGATTATTTTTCATACATATATTCTGCATAACTACCGCGGATCACCAATAGTTCTTGTTGGTTGTCATTTGACATGTTATGCTAAATTAATTAAAATGTCACAAATTGATGTCTTTTATTATAATAGATGTTGTTAGTGATATTTGAACAAATTTTCTTTCCCTACAGTTATAAATAATGATATTTATAAGTAAATATAAATCTAATTCATTATTTCTTTTGATTTCAGCTACTTGGTCCTCACAACCAGTGGTGGAATTATGGACCACGAAGAAGCCAGAAGGAAACATCTTGGAGGAAAGATCCTAGGCTTCTTTTTCTAACTTTACTCAATATAAATGAAAATCTATCTTGTTGTTTTATTTTTCGGCAGTATGTAGGTTAATGAAAACCAATGTACATTATGTTTCTGGACTTGTCCAGTAACTATCTCAAATAAACTTGTAAACATATTTTTTATTTTCAACTGACTTCAAAAAAAAGGAGGAGGTTCTCAATTCGGCTGTTTTTTTAAGTAAGTCGGTGCCACAAGTTTTACACAAAATTATTCATTAAAACCTTAATAGACACCTAACATTAGTGTTACAAAACGCACAGACGCGTCATGGGCACTGAATGCGTTAAGCTGTTTACAATTTTATTGTGGATTATACCTGTGATCATTACCTAAGATATATTTTGTCTTGGGTTTGTGGCACCGACTTCTAACCTATCAGTGGGTGTGTAAGGTATAAGGTATATGTAAGTATGTATGTATGTATGACCAATAATAGTTATTTTTTGCTTTTTACTTTCGTTTGTTTTTGTTTTTGAAGTCGGTTTTTTTAAATGCAGTTTTTTATTTTTATTTAATACTTTTTAGGTTAATACTAGAATATATTATATTATTTACAATTCACATTGGTGCAAAGTTTTCATCCATACATATTATTCAAGTTCAAACACCAGCTACTATTAACCATTGTTCTCTTAGCTATCATACTACTTCATTGTTGGACATTTAGTGACAACCACACCACACCTAGGTATAAAGTCCTCATCAATACAAATTAATCAAACCCAAACACAAGATAGCTACTATTAACCGTTGAAGAGTTCCCTCAGCTATGGTAGTACTTCATCATCAGACCTTTATTGGCAATCACATACCATCTAGGTATAAAGTCCTCATCAATACAAATATATGAAACCCAAATACAATGTAGCTACTGTTAACCATTGTGGAGTTTCCTCAACCATGGTAGTACTTCGTCATCAGACCCTTATTGGCAATCACATACCACCTAGGTATAAAGTCCTCATCAATACAAATTAATCAAACCCAAACACAATGTAGCTACTGTTAACCGTTGAGGTGTTCCCTCGACTGCCTATCGACTACATCATCAGGTCACCTCCAGACCGTCATCAGATTGTAGTGGTTTTAAAAGAGCCATCAGACCACCACGGATAGGACCCAATAGGGCTGATGCCGATACGGAGTCTCGGAGAACCTAACGGGTTACCGGGGCTCCGGCTCGAAGTGCAGGAGTAGGAAAGGGTGGTTTTTAGTCAGTAAGAGTGACACTCCCTCCCGCCTCACCCAGGCGGAAGAAGTCATTCGATGATTTACCTACTTAAAAAAATGTCGTTAGAATGTTATAATCATCTACCTCTGTAACTTGGTGGATTTGTTTTTTAAATGTACCCAAATCCTGACTTGTGGAGCTTGCTTTGTATTGCTTATTCAAATTCATAACCCAAAAAAGGACAATTTTAGTACCTACCTACAAAAAAATATCTTTCTTCATAAACAAGTGCTTTTCTTATTCCTTTGAGTATTGTTCCTTCTCATTATTCTGTTACTAGGAACATTTTAATGTTTCTATTCAAATATTTTTTTTGGTTATCTTCATTCTCGTGATTTTGCTTGTAAACATTTCGACCATATTTTTTTATTAAACCGCGGCTCTACTCTTCGTTTACGTCGCCGTGGATGCATTGCGCTGTGAAACAAATTAACGCAAATAATACTACCGAGCGGGATCTTAACCCTCGACACGTTGCCACAGAACAGAATTCCGTATTTAGGTACCTATACCTAACCTACTGTTGCCTATAAAACAGATTGAATTGATCAATATTCGATATCCTTGTCACCTACGCTGCGGCACATAATATAACATAAATGGACCCCTTTTCCAATTTTCTTTTTTTACGTAGTCGACACTTAAGTTTTTCTCATGTATCGTGGGTGCGTTTGCAAACTGAGTGTCGCGGAGAACCTAACGGGTTACCGGGGCTCCGGCTCGACGTTCAGGAGAAGGAACGGGGTGGTTTTTAGTCAGTAAGAATGACACTCCTCGCCTCACCCAGGAGCAGCCATTCGATGATTTTCCCCCCTTAAAAAAATCCTAGCAAAGTTCACGATTTCTATCTACCTACTAACATAATAATCGATAAGACTAGACTAGAATAAATCCGAAAGTTGGTGTTGAGTTGATGTTGATGGATAGATATTAGGTACCTAGCAACTTTTTACACAGACTAAATGGGGCTAAAGTTAAATGATTAGCCCATATACAAATTCGTCTAGAATATAAGATCGCTTCCTACTTCCAATCTCTATTAAGTGGGCAATGCCCCGAGATGCCGCTGACAAAACTTATGCAGGTAAATGTGCGAGAAAATCTAATATTCAGCAGTGGAATAAGTTATACAAGGATCGTCATTATTATAAAAGTATTGTTATCACTTCCACGGGACTCTGAATTCGGGAGTCTCCAAATTACACCGTGTCTCGGTGTGTACCTACCTATAACATGTATGTATGTAAATTCTGAACTAAAAACATATGCATGAAAGATATTAAAAGTAAGTAAAATAAAGAAGTTAAAAATGTGATCGCAAAAACAAAGCGGGGTGCAATATGCTGTTCACAGTGATCACTATAATTTGAAAGATTCTATGTTATACCAATAGATGGCGCTAATATCCTCATCATACATTTTAAAACGCGGTCACCCGGGTTTTTTGAACGTAGCTTTGAAAAAATTTTACTAATCGTATTTTAGGGCTTTCACATTTTGTTCATATCTTTTTATATATTGTAACTTAACGTAGGTACCTAATCATCTGCAACATAAAAAACGTAAGTATATTTTGAGAAACGAAATTAGGTAACTATACTGAACAGTTAGTAGGTACCTACCTTGTTCTATTAACTGTTGCGGTTTATTATAGTTAATAAGTAATTTAGTTGAAGTGGTTAGAGAATTAACTGCAGGTCTTTTTTTGTCCGCGACACAGTTACGGGCACCTACATAACTAACTAGTAAGTAACTAATAATATGCGTAGCATTCCGTCACCGGGCAGGTCGTAAGTACTTGTGACAAACACCATCACCACCATTCTTGCTCCCCGCGGTCGCCAGTCAGCCAGGCCCGCCATTCTTCCGTTCCGCTCGGCAGTAGTGCGCTGCACGGACGATACTACGCTCGCTATCGACGGAAGAAAATGTGTGTCGCGTCCACAGTGTACTAGTATTGTAGTGGCAGTGCTCGTGAGTTACGCACGCGGACTTAACTTTATTTAAAGAACGATCTACTCAAATAATGATGGCGCCCGAGACTGTGGTGACTACTGAACACAACAAACCTGCTGCAGCTTCACCTCAGCAGCAAGGCGGCGCGTTGGATTGGCTTAAATTCGACGTAAACTATTTCAAAACTCCACCAGGCTTGTTGAAAATAATACAACTTGTAAGTACTACTATTCTTTTAATTTATTTGTTCTGACTAACAACTATAGAACCCAGTGTAAAGGTGTTTACGGTAATGATAAAGTTAAGGATAAAACTCAGAACAACTTTTAAATAGAGCTGTTGCTTACGGGCTATAAGATTATTACTATAAAGGATTCTGTTCGTGAACTTCTTGTAGCTACTGAAAAAAACATTTTTTTTCTGAACGCCGTAATATCTTTCAGGATCTTTGTGTATGGGTATTTATAGAAAGTAGGGTGTTAGAGAGAAGATTAGGTAGGTACACTAGACAGTTCTAGTTAATTGGATACTTAAAAATACATAATTAATAGTGAAAGCAATCGATGTTAGTTAAAATATTATTATTGTAACTATATGATGCATCGTACAGATAGGTGTGCCTTCAAAGTTACAGGCGCACGTACCGTGAGAGAAGTAGGTGCACAAGCACAATATGTTTTATGCATATGAGTTATCGAGGTCATAAAACGTTGCATATTATAGCTGAGAATGCTTTTTGGTGTCGTGGAGGTCAGTAGGCAGCAAGAGGCAGCGGGGCGCGGCCGGCGCGGGGGCTGACGCCGCAGGTTGTACGCCGGGCCCGGCATGCGGAGGAGGCGAGCTAATCTTACTCCTCCATTCACCAACGCTATGCAAGAAATCATTGTCTACATAAGATATAAATATTGAATTGAATATCCTAGACTAGACTGCAATTGCTATTATACATTTTTGTTTAAAAGGAAGTCGTACCAATTAGATACCTATTTCATTTCTGTCTCTACAAAATCTAGAAATAAGTAGATAGGTAATTTTCAAAATAGCGATTTAAGGTATCTTCCTATATGATGTGTTTCGAAGGAAAAAAAAACAATTTCACAATCCGGTAAAATATTTGACATCATCTTTAGTCCTTTATAGTTTGTGCATAGTTGATGCATAACAAAAACAGAATGTCGCTACAACTATCTGAGATTAGAGAAAGAAACCTAGAGGTACAGCTTCTACAAGCGTTGATATAGGGATCGAAACGAGACTCGTAAATATAAAAAAAGAAATATCCGGTCGCGTTGAAGAAATTATAGAACCTACCTGTACCTATGGCTATACTAAATATTTACTTCCACGAGGAAAAATAACATCTTAACAAAAAAAAAGGAAAAAAATGCTCGGTTCCTAATAAATTCTTACGCAGGATTCACAACAGGTAAAGATGGGTGTCTACTAGACGTTTAGGTACCCATATTCTGAATATTGTAGTCAACTTGAACGAGTTTTGAAATCTACGTCTCAGGTTTACGTTTACTTGTGAATAAGTCGTTGCATTTGTATGATATTTTGTTATTCTTGTATCGTGTTGTTTTTCTCTTGGAGGTTTCCGATTTATGACGTAGTCAGATGAAGTCATTCTACATAAATATATTATAATTTGTACTTGAATCATCTTATAGAATTTTTAATAACTTAAGAGTTAGACAGAGGGTCTGGTCCTGAAGATATGTATCGACTCGAGTTTTCATTATTTATTTAATTCTGACTTAAACATGTGCATTTAAAAAAAATTGCTATCGCGGCGTCTAATCTCATTTATCGAATGCGATAAAACTTAAGTCAAGAGCTTAGTTATACGAAATATGTTGTTTTTGTTTATTTGACATTTTAGCCACATGGTATTGAAAAATATGAGACTATTCTATTGAAATTATTGTACCTACGTAGGTCTACTAAAAACTAATAGATACTAGATAATTATAATTAGTTCCTACATAAGAATTACTTATCTTGTATAGGTAGGTAGGTAGGTACTCTTACATTGTCAGTCTTTTTCTTCCAAAGTTGCTTAGGAAATGACGTGTATGGAAAACATGACAGAGTTCATGATTAACATTTTACTAGTTATAAAAGTAAATTACCAGGAAAAAAAGAAGATTTAATTTAAATATGTAAGTGTTTATAAACAGGAGTTCAATTGTCCACGATTTGATGAATTATAAATTTAGTAAAGAGAAGAAGATATCGCGTTTTCCTAAAATTACCTTATCACCTTAAATGCCCATGTAATTAGGTCTCTAATGGTATGTAATTTGCGGTTAAACCTAATGTTGAAACACCAAAATCTTGTCCTAGCAAGAAATTAAATATAACAAGTTCAAAATTGTAAAACTTGTTTTACTACTATTTTACTTACTATATTACTAAATTAGTCCCTAAAAGGTTATTAAATTTAATCGAAAGATATTAGAAAACTCTTTCTTTTGTTGATTAGACGTCGCTGGTTATCAAAGACACAATTTGTCACCCACATGTATTGAGTTGGTTAGTCAGTCAGGAGGTGGGACAAATAAGTAGTATTGCCTTATTTAAACTTTAATACGAAACATTCGTCATATTTGTCTGGGCGTGTGTTCGCCTTCGCCTACTCGAGCTCAACGTGCTGATATCATCGTCCGTCCTTGCCGCTGCCCAATAATACTGGTGCCCATATAAGTACCACTAATATTATATTTGAACAATACTTTCAGCTGAACATACTTTATTTCTTATAAGGTTAGAACCTTAATCCATCTGTCATCTAAGTAAGTAGGTATCTAATGCAAACATTTCAGTATTCGACACTGACAATTATAATTTTGTGATTCGATCTGCCTGGCAATCGTTAGGTAAATTATGATACCTTTATTATTCAAATAGGTGTGTACATGACGTAAAAGTGCTACACTGCAATTGCGGAATTACAACGAATGCAAGTTCACAACAGGTTTAATCAGTAAAGTCACGTAATATTGTTAACTTCCTCCTGTTAGTCTTTGGATTCAATTACATTAATTGTGCTAATTGGAGCTCTTATTAATTTATCCTTTCGGATTACTAAGCTATGTCTAAACGTTAAAACTTTGTAGTGAAAAAGATATTATTATTTGTTTATTTTCAACCATGATCGTGCCACTGCAGGGCAAAGGCCTCCCTACCCTCCATCCACTCATCTCTATGTAAAGCTTTTTGCGGCCAATTCTTGTCATAGATATATAGGTAAAGATATTAGGAAGAAAAAATAAATCAAACGTTAATAGAAAATTATAATTCACTAGCTACTTCCGCGCGGTTGCACCCGCTCTGCTCGGCTCCAAATGACCGTAGCGTGATGTTTTGTAGCCTATAACCTTCCTCGATAAATGTACTATCCAACACAAAAGAATTATTGAAATCGGAGATTAGCGCGTTCAAACAAAAAAACAAACTCTTCAGATTTATAATAGATATTAGTATAGATTCGCGTCTTAAAAGTAAATGCTTAGAGCCGACCTCAACTTGGGAGTAAACTAGGAAAATAAAACAGTTACTGTATATAGTAGTTTAAGCCATGTGGACCAACACCCCTAATGCTGAGCTAATTTTATCCTGGAGGGCACGTGCAGTCGATTTCTTTGAATTTAACAATGCATTTCGATCTTGAAACTATTTTTAGTTACTGAAGGAAATACAAACTCGAATACCTTTCAAATGACCTTCATTTTTTAGGTAATATCTACATACTAACATGCCTAGGTAATACTAATTTGGATCGATTTCAGTCGTTAGTTAACAGACATGGAGGTAATTAATTCACTTTTTGTTAGGGATGATTCCTAAATAATAAATAATTAAGCAAAATTAATTTTGGGTGTCTGAAATCAAGTAAAAAATACATTTGACTGAATTAAATTTTACTACCTAGTATAATGCTGCCAGATGTAAAGGAAAACATTATGTGACCAGTGCGCAGGCTCTTACGGTAAAAACTTACAAATGCAGCTTTCGCTTTCACATTACGTGACGTCACTAGTAAGTATTCAGTAAAAAATATATTCTACATGCAAGAAAAAGCAAGACACATAATAAAATATGAAATTTTGGAGAATCTATTTTTTGGTCGGCGGAATATCAGAGCTTAACACTAAATTCTGCAATTGTGTATACTTACAATCGTACATCAGCTATCAGTAAATCAAATAACAAATATAGGCTAGTGATTGTTATCAGTACTCGATCGGTTATACACCATGTACCGAACAGTGAAACCAGAAATGTCATTCAACTGTGACCTTAGCGGTTGGCAGCACTATCGTTGGCGGTACCTGATAAATGTTCATGGAAAGAAATTAACGAACTTGAATGTACCGTACCGGATGAAGCTTCAATTATTTAAGTATAAGTATAATCTTATTTAAATGTTACAAAATGAAAGAGAGTATCTATCTACCTTGTATCTATCTACTAGATAACTCAAACATTGTATTTAAAAATACCTACACTTTTTAATACAATGTTTGATTTATCGAGTTATCGCAGAAGCGCTCATTCTGGAGACTTTCTATACAAAATGTATCCGTTCATCCTTGTATGTTTTACGCACGTATCAAAAACACCGCTCCGTTTCCGGCTACTAAAGATATAAGTTACGTTTCGTTTGTTTTTGTAAAGGGATGTACTAATTCTGGACGTAAACGAGAAACAAGCTCGATATTAAATATTAAATGTGTTTGTAAGGTTTACGTAACCTACTATGAATATCCATGAACAAGCATACGATGACACATATACGCCGACTGTACCTTTGCATTCATTCAATCTTGGTAAACTTTTTGTCTGCCATTAATTCCTTTCAATTTCTGTAAACAACTTCAGTGGATTTTTTATTCTATGATGTTTTTTTGTTTTAAGTGTTTTGTGACGATCAGTCTGTTGTGATGAAGAATTTAATATGTTAAGATGTAATGTGTATATTTTGTATATATTGTAAGCCCTTCTTTATTATTTTTTTGTTTTATATTTTTTTCTTTTCGTTTTATATTTTCTTTTTAGTACTTTAAATATGCTTTTTCCACTAAGTTAAGCTTCACTGTCGAATTGGGAAAATCCTATAATGAGAGTGTAGGAAGATTTTTATATAATAAATAAATAAATTATTCGGCTGAAAGAAATTGTTTTGAAGTAATGGCTAGTGTTGTAGTTTTGTCT